ATAGTAGTAGTGAAGGACAAAAATAGGATAAAGGAAATCAGAATGATTCCCAATGTTTCTTCATAGGACAGGAAGGTAATAATCTTGAAGATACATTGGGTTTGTTCCTGATTTGGATACTGATCTTCTGGACACTTGGTGCATTTTTCTGCATCTGAAAAAGAATGGGATATACACTTTATTGCTCACCCTTGATTGGCTTAGAGCTGAAACCATCAAAATAGTAAAATAAAAATAAACATTAAAAAGGTTTAAGAAAGTGTGAATAATTCTCTTCTTGATTCATAAAGAGTATTATTCACTGTTTCTTAAACTGTTTTCCATCAGTAGAATGGAAAAAAGGGCACTGTGGTTCAGTGACTTAATAACACTGAAGATGGTCTCTGTTCCAGTGGTTTGAGCCCTAGCACTAGCACTGCATGTTGAGGTGAGTTCCCATCCCTTGCCTCAGCTTCTGCACCTTATAGTTTGAAAGCATGTTTATGGAAGTAAATTAATAGGTAAATTTCTTTGGTGGGGAGATGAATTGGTGCTCTGTACAGGCAGTCAGATTCCTGCTTTCAACTTTCTTGATTGCAACATCTATTTGTGAGGCAGTTCCAGGGAAGGGAGGGGCCCTGTATTCTTTCTGGTAATGCTAGCTCATCCTCCTGTGGTACACCTTATTCACTCTTTCTTAAACCAAGAAAGAGCAAGAGTGTATCTAATGGAAGTGGTACACAGGCAGTCAAACTACTATTCTGCAATAGTATTGTGGTGTCCTAGCCAATGTAACACCACATGATAACAATAACAACAACAACAATATGCGAAGTAAGTGATTTTTCTGAATGAAGGTCCTGCTCGCCTTAAACAAAGTTCCAAGATTCAGTTGAAGTAGCAAAAATGAAGTAGCAGTTGAAGTAACAAAAATGGATGGAGCTGTTCTGAAATCACACATACATGCATAATAAATAAAATAAACTTGCTAGTAACAAGGGTGATTGAGAAAAATGTCTAGTTTAGGTGTTTACTAGAAGGCAAGTAAACTGCACCCAAACTGGGTGTCTGGGTTCCGATGGATGCCCTAATTAATTCATGAGCCTCGAGCCAAGTTTCAAAAGAATTCCAATTATTTAGTAGGAGCAACATGTCAGCACTTTTCCCAAACGCAATCAGCTCTGTCCTACGTAATTTACTGTTCATTTATGACCCTGTTTCCCCCTCCACCCAGGGTGTGTCATAAATCACATTCTCCAATGAAGCACTTTCACAGGCTGTGGACAACACGCCTCTCCAGCTGGGCTTGGTAACTTGAGACACAATCTGGAGACAGGTATGTGTGTATAGTGCTTCTGATCATAGCAACGAACTGCTCCATCAGATCTCCCCCTCCTTCTTATGGCAACTCGAGAGCAAGCCAGGAATGCTTTACGAGTTGACATGGGGTGAAAACCATATTGATTAAATATTGGTAAAACAAACTTCTCCAGGATGGAATTAAAAGCAACAATGAATCCCAAAATATAGAAAGTCCCTAAGCTGTCTTGTGTCATCTGATATCAACACAAAAGATGGGAGCCCTACTTCATTTGTAGCATGAAATATGACATATGCAATAAACATGGAGGCAAATGTCATATTTTCTGTACTGTCTCTGAAAGACCAAAGGTTAGAAATACCCTTCCAAAAGCCCCTCCATGGAAACTATCTGATTTCCTCCAAAGGTGTTTCCACCCACCTTCCTGAGTGGAGATGGTACCTTTTGCACAGGGAAGGCAGAGGTAACAGCAAATGGATTCTCCTTCCTGGGTTGCCTTAACTAATCCAGGTTGACAACTTTCTACACACCTGGAAGGAGGGAGGTCCTATGCAAAGAAAGTAGGGACATTAAAGGAGAAACGTGGAGAATAATCTATGGAAAGAGAACGAACATGAGTTTGATGTAATGGTGAAGACAACTGGCTAGAAAGTGGGAGGTTATGACTTCTAGTCCTGCTTTAGGAATAACTTTTAGCCAATCACCTTGTCTTAGCTCCAGGAAGAGGCAACAGCAAACTATTTCTGAAATCTCACCAAGAAAACTGCAGGGGATTCTTCAGGTAGTTGCCATTAGTCAACAATGACTTAAAAGCACTTATCCCCTTTCCAAAAATTGAAAGAGAAAAAAAAATAGTAACAATTCCAGTCAATCACCTGCTTTGGGTTTAATCTGGATTACTTTGGGACAACTTACAAATTGGGCTATACTCATTGGATTTCAAGTCTTAACTTGAGAACCTCAATAGATGCTTTCAACTATTGGATTTTCTGATTCAAATCTGAAGCCTCCAATATTAATGTATCAAACTTGCAGCATCACATTGTTGTCACATGATGTATCATGACTTTTTCCCCCTTTGCTGAACTGGGGTTGGGCATGGCCAATTCATGACGCATCTGGCATGAGTTTGACACCCCTGCTCAAATGGATCTTTAAACCCTCTTTAATGACATGTATATTACTTCTTTTTGCCTCTTTCCTCCTCCATTCACTTTCTGATCTTTGAATTTTCTTAGTTCTGATTTTAGAATTTTAGAGTTCAAGTTCTTTAGAACATAAGTCATCTCTCCATTTGTGATAGATGAACTTCCAAGCAACCTGAGGCACCCTGATTTTGAATATCATATTTCTTCTGTACAATTTACTAGAAGAGCTGGGGGAAATCCTTTCTCTTGAAAGTCAACAATTTGGTATAATCACTCAAGACTTCATTACAGAATTAAAAGTTTTTGGAATCTGTGAAATGGAAGGCACCCATTTTTTCCTTCCTTGTTGAGCCATTTCAGTTTTGCAAAACCATCCTGATCAAGAGTAAACTTGAGATCTGGGGATCCTTGCCTTTCTAGATCCCCTAATTTCAGTTTGAAGAAAGAATTGTTGGGGAACATAATCCAGCTCATGATATCAAAGTCAGTTGCTAGCTCTCTATTTTCATCCAAATAGACTTCATCCATGGAACCATTGTGAAACTGAGGGCTTTGCAGGAATGGGTGAAGCTAGAAGGGAAAAGAAAAGGATGGAGAGCAATGATAAAAGAAAATATCAATAAAGATTCTCAGTCATCCAGGTAGAGTTGTCTGGAAGTTGAATCATGGCAACTGGATTTCTTTCGTTTTTTGTTTTGAAAGATTTCACTGCTTAAGCAATGAAATGTTTCAAACAAAAAACGAACAGAAAACAATATTTGTAGCCCAGGATTGAACTGTGGAATTTTGAATGCTCTATGAGTTTGATTGTTTTCTTGCAGAGATTTCATTACCCAATTCGATAACATCTTCAGTGGCACAAAAGGAACAACCTGACAAGTTCACCTTTCATCCCCTGGTACACCTTTGACTGCTCACCAAGCCACACAACAAACACCATCATAAAGTTTGCAGATGACACGACCGTGATTGGTCTCATCTCTGGAGAGGATGAGATGGCATATAGGGCAGAAGTAGAGAACCTGTCTATCTGGTGTTCACAGAACAATCTGTCATTGAATGTCCATAAAACCAAAGAACTGATTATGGACTTCAGGAAACTTGGACAGGATCATGCCCCACTCATCATCAATGGAGAACGAGTGGAAACTGTCCCTACGATCAGATTCCTTAACACCCATATTTCAGCTGATATCTCCTGGTCCCCTAACACCAAGGCCATAGTGAAGAAGGCTCAACAGCGGCTGCACTTCCTGTGGGTTCTCAGGAAGAACAATCTGGATAAGAAGCTGTTGCTGGCTTTCTATAAAGCCTCTGTGGAGAGCACTCTGATGTATTGTCTGGGTGTGTGGTGTGCAGGCTCCACAGCTGAGGACAGGAAAACTGTACAGAGGGTGATAAACATAGCTCAAAAGATCATTGGTTGCCCTCTGCCCTCCCTGGAAGACTTCGCCAGGTCCCACTGCCAAAGCAGAATCAAGGCCATTATAGAAGACCCCTCACACACTGGCAATTATCTTTTTGATCTGCTGCCGTCTGGACAGCGTTTTAAGTCAATAAAATCCCACACCACTAGACTAACAAATAGTTTCTTTCCCTGGGCCATCCGAACCACAAATAAACACAAAGTCACTACCTCATTAAGATGTGAAAAAATGTGAAATCTCAATACCCGATTCAGTTGTATAATAACATATTACAGTACAATCCATCTCTTGTGTATTATACTCGGCTAAGCGTTACAGTCAGTGTTGGATGTATATTTTGTGTATATTTGTAGATATTGTACTCTCAAATTGCAAATGGAGACGTGGGTACTCTATCTTTCTTATCTTCATTTTTAAGTGCTTTGGTTTTATTGTATTGCAAACAGTTGCTGGGGTGTATCCACAGTTTCGTTGTACAATGACAATAAAGTTCTAATCTTCTAATCTTTATAGTGAAGAATTCATTCCAACATGAATTGAGCTGTAATTGTATTTTAATATTTTTACAACTTCTTATATTATTGAATTTTTTAATGGAATAGAATAGAATTCTTTATTGGCCAAGTGTGAAAAAATGCTTTTTTTTTTGTTTCTTTTAGGTGTTTGAACTAACTTGGTTTAAGCTTAGAAGGTAAGCAGAGTTGGATCTGACTAGTAATAGAATAAAGATAAGAAGTAATATGAATATAAAATAATAGCAATAGCACTTAGAGTTATATAACCCTTCCCAGTGCTTTACAGTGCTTTACCCTCTCTAAGTGGTTTACTGGGTCAGCATATTGCCCCCAACAATAATAGTAAACATTTGAGGAGAGTCAATTAGAAACCTGCAGGAAACATCCCCATGAAGTCCTCAGCAATCAAAGGGACTTGACTTGTTGATTTCCTAAGAAATGTGAAAATTAAAGATTTTAGACATATGCAGATTTGAGCTTGGAGAAAAATGAGCTGGGCTTAATCTCAAGGATATACAATTAATTGACTTACATTAAGTGACTTATACACTGCTTCACAGTGTTTTATAGTCCTTTCTAAGCAATTTACAGAGTCAGCATATTGCCCCCAACAATCTGGGACCACATTTTATTGACCTCAGAAGGATAGAAGGGTGAGTCAACCTTGAGCTGGTCAGGATCAAACTCCTTGCAGTGGGCAGAATTAGTCTTCAATACTGCATTCTAACCACTGTTCCATCATGGCTCTAAATTGAACCATGGTTAATAGAGCTTGGATCCCATCACTAGTGTCCTTTAATCCTACTAAGTCTTCAGGCAGTAGAATCAATACAAGGAACTTCTGACTTGGATACAGGTCATAAAATTTGAGGTTCTTGTTGAATTTCTAGCATGCTCAAAATAAATAATTCTTGGGGAAAGTTGTTCATGTTACAGATTTATATATTTGATTCATGGCTTAGGACCAGGTTATCTGAGGGAACATCTCTTGCCAGTGACTTCTACCCAACCCATCAGAGTGGGGAGGCAGGGAATGTTGTGGGTCCCATCCCCGAGGGAGATAAACCTGGTGGGATCCAGAAGAAGGGCCTTCTCCATGGTGACTCCATATCTCTGGAACATCATCCCACAGAGATTAGAATGGCCCCCTCACTAATACTCTTCCGAAAGGCACTGAAGACTTGGTTCTGCCAGCAGGCCTGGGGAACCCAGAGTGGGATGGAGACCAGAGTGGGACGGACCCTGAGATGGGTTGTGTGATCTGCTGCTATCATGGTGGAGGGTGGGAGTTGGGGGGTAATTTTCTATTTATTCATTTTCTCAGATATAGTTCTATTGTACTTTATTAATTTATTTGATTCTTTATGTTAGTTTTAAAAAAAAATATGGTTTAACATTTTGTAAGCCGCCTCGAGTCACCATTGGTGAATGGGTGGCAATATAAATTCAATAAATAAATAATTAAACAAACAAAAAAGGAATAGAGAATACCTGCCAAGGCTGAAGCAGTTGACCTTCCAACTGGTATTTCCTGTTTCTCATTCTCCTGATAGACTTGGAGAAATACGCTACATTTGTGGCATTTGCCACAGCCCAGAGAGTGCTGTAAATGTGATAACCATCAAGAGACAGGATTTTTTCATAAATACTCGGGGGAGGGATCCTCAAATCTTCTTTTTCACGGCACCTTGTCCATCCTTTCACAGCTCCAGCTGGCTTTGAGTATAAACAATGAAAGCCTTCATCTACAAATTTCAGAATGGAAGAGTAAAGGAGTGGAAATTTGTCATCTACTGCCCACTTATGCCTGTGGATAAAGAAGGATAAAAAACCAAAGAGGGAGGGGAGGTACTTTGGAGACTTTAAGTCCAGGCTAAAATCCCATAAAACTGTGGTGATCCAGATCTTGCCAGCCTCAAGCTCGACAAACATTTCCAACATTACTTGAAGAAAGAATATTTGTCCAAAGGAGGAATCTGTCTTTACATAACAAACTAAAACATTGACTTTCTTCCATTTGTTCAAATGGCCAATGAACTTCTCAAAATCCTTCAAAGAAAAGGAGGTGCCCAATGAAAAAGCAACACAAATGCTGTTCTTTGTAAGCATGGGAGTCAATGTTCTTCTAAATCTCTCTCCATTCTCAGAGGTTGGAGCAACAAGACCTATCAATGTCCACCTAAAAAACAAGAGAACTTTGATAATCCCGGGATATTGGATGCCTTCCCCGGGGAGCACTTGGTAGAAAAAAGGAAAGTGATTTTTATCATTCAGAACTTGGGATGCAAAAGCATAACTGACCTGAAAGGAAAATGACAAACTTTGGATCAAATCAGAGGAACTACCCTTAGACACAACTTGCCTTCCTTTAGGACCAGTTCACATCCCTCACACCTTCTGCATGAGCCTTGATGTAGGATTTTTCTTTCAAGCATTCCCAACATTGGCTCCTAATCTAGACTGTGGCTGTGGTGGAACATAGAACACAGAATAATATTGAAAGGGACCTTGCAGGACTTCTCATCCAACCCCCTCTCAAGCAGAGATCCTATACCATTTCAGATACATTGTTGTCCCGTCTCTTTCTGAAAGCCTCCAGTGATGGAGCACCCACAACTTCTGAAGGTAATCCGTTCCATTGATGGTTTGCTCTCACCGTTAGGAAATTTCTCCTTAGCTCTAAGTTGCTTCTCTCCCTGGTTAGTAATGGGGAGAGAAGTGGCTGCTTTCATCATTTCAGTTCTTCCTGATTGTGTGCCATTTTAGATAGAAACAACCCTTCAAATTTTGTAGAGAAATCCATGAGTTGGATTTAAACTGAGAAGCTGCCAAGGAAAAAAAACATACAGATGCACAGGAAACACACCTGAGGAATTTTGTATTGGCTCAATATGGTTGAAATATGGATGGAAAGTTTAATTACATCCCCTTCAAGGACAGCCAGTATGTTTTTCTCCTTTGCACAGTTGTAGTTGGGAACATTGGCTTCCCCAGTCGAAAGCAAGTCTAGCAAGGCATCTGAGGTGATACTTCCTTTGAAATAATTGTCATTGATAGTGTAGCCCAGGGTGAGGTTGGGTAAGAGATGGGGATCTTTGTTGATCTCCTGAATGGCAAAAAGGAAGGACAGAATTTTCCAGTGTTGTTTGTATCCTTTCCTGTCAATAGATGTGCATCATATCACCATCAAGAACATTACTGTATCTCTTCCACTTTCTAAAATGCCCCTCCCTCTTCCATGCAAAGCTAAAATTTATCCAGTTATTAAAGCTAATGCACTGTTGCCACCAGTTGTTTATTTTGGTGAATGTTTGAAATAAATGATGGTTTTCCTCATGATTCAAGTGATCTGGGCAAATGCCTGGATTCTAAAAGTTTTGAAGCAGAACAGAAAAAAAGCCACTGGAATTCTTGTTTCATTGTCATTGTATTTCAAGCACACAAAACTCACATTTCCAATATATGCTTGTCATATAACATCAATAAATGAAATGGCCCTGACTGAACAATTCTCAAAATTCTGTTGGACCTGGACACATACAGCTTGTCAGGTGGTGCTCCATTCGAGATTCAAGAAAGAAAAACT